AACATTCCAGACCTCTGTGATTAAAAAAGACGAATTATAATTTCTGCAGCGTATTCTAATTATGCAGTTTACCTTGTTATCAGTAACTGGAATCAGAAAAAACATGTTTTACGTATATTTCCTGTGGCGAATTTGGGATAAGTATAGTTGCGCAATCTTTAAACGAAATTAGATTCGAAATCTCGGAAAAGAAATATTCTTGTACCCTAAGCTGCGAATAATCACGATTTTAGTATTTCTGGGTTATGACTCATCGCTCAGAAAATAGCCGTGAAAGGAAAAAGCTCGTCACGGCTAAAAGCAATCAATGCTGTTGGATGAAGTGCAGGGAAAATGATAAATCATTCATAAAACTCAAAGAAAAGTGCTTGGAATAAAAGAAGGAAAAGCCCTTCTTGTATTCTCTAATGTTTGATACCAATGATATGGAAGTAATATGTTTTTTTTTTTTTTTTAGTAAAATGAAAAATGAGACGTCGTACTGAAAAAAGTTCGGAAGATTGTACTAGTTGAAACCTGTTTTTTAATGTCAAGCATTCTGTGTATTCTAGTATATTTATGTGTGTGTGCGAAGAGTATAAAACAAAATTACTAACAAAATTATTGAAATTAATTGGAACCAACTTCCAATAGATCTTTAAATTCATAATTTTTAATTAAACACATCCCTTCTTCAAGGATACGCGTTGCACCATTTTGCGCCACTTTTCAGCATGTTACATCACTTTTTCTTTTCAATTTTTCTCCGCAGCGAAAAACGTAGTGACGTAGTCCAGTCGCTATTTAGGATTAAAACGAAGACTTTTCGAGCTTATAAATATGAATGCAGTTAGTACGCATCACGCTTTCGCTTGCTTACTCTGCTCGAGAAAGTCATGTGTCTTCGTTTCTTTTTTTCTATTATCTAAAATGTAAACTGCGTTTATAAAAATTGCGAAGTGCGTTTAGCATCCTTTTGTCATACCAGTTTAAGCTAAAAATGTATTTCTGAATAATTGTTTCTGTCCAAAATAAAAACGATGCTTTAACATCAAGCTAGCAGTGATTTTCGCTCCAGTCAGATCTACGCAAAAGCTTTTTCGGTTATTACTAAAAAATGGATTGGTTTCATCTTCTGTAATCAGCTCTCTGCTAAACTCTATCAACTTACCGTGAATACGAACCTCTAAAATATCATACACACACATACTTGTACATTATGTCGGATTTTTGAAAAACTAATGGACTCGATTTTAATGGAATTTCGTACGAATAGACATAACAAAAAAATAGGTGTACCATTCAAATGTCATTTTATGTAAGCTTGATTATCATTTTATTTAAGCTCATAGTGAAGGGATGTCCAAAATCCACTTTGTGATATTGAATTGAAAATGAGTCTAATATCGGTATGGTACCCTATCACAGCCAGACTAGTCGCGCAGCATGATGGCATACTGGTCAGGAGGCCGAAGCGGAGTCCCTGTGGCTGTCGATCCTACTCCTGCAGCAAGGCAGTTTCCAACTCCGGGATGGTTCTCGGAAGGGGATGGTTATTCTAGGAGGGGATGACGAGAAAAATGCTTTCAAAGAACGCCCTAGACATGCTCTATGAGGGTTAAGGTCCGGAGATCTGGCTGCTCAATCCATGCGACGAATATCTTCGCTTTCCAGGTGATCGTCGACCAGCTGAACTGTATGTAGACAAGCATTTCCGTCCATTAACAGGAACCAAGTGCTTCCCTGTAAAGTCGAGCATAGGACTCTTAGGATCTCCTGTCGTCACCTTATAGTAATCAAAGAGCCTTTGTCAAAGACATACAGAGGTGTCCGGCTGCCCAAACTATGACACCTGCACAAACCATTATGCCTGCCCAAACCATGACACTTTCACTTAACATAATGATTCTTTTCCCTGATGAGAAAGGGACGATGGCGTGTTCCAAGCTCTCTCCAGATACAGGAATCCGGAAAATCGACTCCAGTCTGAATCTCAACTCGATCTGTAAAAAGCACTGTGCTCTTACTGAAGTTTTATTTAAGGAGCATATTGTCTGCACCATGCTAGGCGCTGTCTTGTGTACTACTGTCAGCGGAACTCAAACAGCAGGTGTTCTCTGGCATACAGTTCTATCTCATGAAATCTTCCGGAAATCGTAGACAGCGAAACTTAGCTTCCAGTGGCTCACGTGAGAGCTGATGTAGTCCTGTGTTGCCACGCTGAGAGTGCCAAATAACGATCCTCTTTCGTCTTTGTGAATTCATTTTACCTGATAAAATATAGATAACTTCTTGCGAGAAACGCGGTGAATATCGTAAAGGAGTACAAGCACACAAACCGCCAAAAACCTTTCGTACGCTAGTATCCCTTTCACAATCACAGTTCCACAGATGCGTACGTATGCGCTTACGTATCTGCCTCTGAATGTTTGCATGATTCCTCTGCGGCATAATTAGTACCTGTAGTCCAATATTTTTCATAAAAATAGACATAATTCGCAGATTCTCTTAATTTTTGCTCATCAATGTGTGTGTTGTTCAATAGTGATATTTACTTATGTACTCAGGAAATGTTGGTTAATTTAAAGATGGCAGAGTACTTAATTCTGTTTCAAAAATATTTTCTTTTAGAGATGGTCCTTTTAGGGCAGTGGTGGCGAACCTTTTTGGGGTCGTGTGACCAAAATGGAATGACCGCGTGCCATTCCGTTTAAGATGTTAAATTAGAATTATTTCATAAGTTACCTCAAAATGCTTAGATCTGAAAACTGGAATCTATTTAACAATGAACGTATTAAAACTCACCGGCAGTCTGCAATAAATTTGAATTCGTTTAGTAAGCATTAGCTTCAACTTTTGATATCTTTGCCATGTAACAAGTAATATCATTGGCCCAAACAACTGAAACGTCATAAATTGAGTCAATAAATATGTGTATCATTTCTTTGGCGATATATGAAAATGTTATATCTAGGTTTAGCCCCTATGCCATTGGCATTATGTGGTAAGTAAGTAAATGAAACGTTCAAGAAGAGACTAAAAGATTTATTTAAATTGTATAGCATCATTTCTTTGTGATTTTTGATTAAGGAAGTAATATTTTAGTCGCGTGCCGGCTGATGAGGCTCTGCGTGGCGATTGTGGCACACGTGCCGTAGGTTCGCCGTCACTGTTGTAGGGATTGGTAGCCGTGAAGGTTCACAGTATTTATGAAGATCATTCATTTTAATATAAATACTGAAAAATTTTAAATATTTCTGTCTGTTGCATATTTATTTTGGAACTGTTCTTGAAAATAAATGAAAAGGGTTTCCTGGTATGCGATGAAACCAGCTGTAGTTTCATATGAGTAGCATTTTCATTCACGATTGAAGCACACGGACGCTACTTGTTATAGGGTAGGTTTGCCGTTATGGAGGGATTTTTTAAGGGAAATTGACTTACATCTATGTTATACGTAAAGGAATTTTTTTAATTCATAATTTACTGCCTTAAGAAATACTGAATGGACGGAAGACATTTTTCGATGTCTGTTTAAAAAAATAGCTTATCTACTTTTTTTTTTGGCCTAAAGGGCGTTAGCCCAGAAGTGATTCCACAACCAAATATTATCACCCTATTTTACATTTAAAGAAATTCAATAATGAAGAAAGAATCTGCATGAATGTATTTTTCTCGCATTGTGGAAAAACGACGGTACCTAGAGTCATCAAATTTTGAACAACGTAATCCTCCACCCGAACATGGGCACTTGGAAGCCCGAATTTTGAATTTCGTATCTGTTTCATATTTTGTAATAACTTAACAAATTCAACGATTTCAAAGCGAGCAATGGTAACTACGGGAAAAAAAAAAAAAAAAAAAAAAAAAAAAAAAAAAGGCATTTTTATCTCTAGCGCGAGAGACTGTCTATCGGAAATACTAAAGGTAGGATGTTTTTAAATATTTTGTGATATTGCTCTTGAATTGAACTTTATGTGGTTTACGTGCGGAGAACATGATATTTAATAAATAAAGGTAACACACATAGCGTTAATGCCTTTTTGTGCGTAAGATAAAATCTGAAAGGTTTCAGCTTTTTTTTTCTTTTAATAATTAGCTAGTAATGATCGTATAATTGATAAATAGTGGAAAGTAGTTTTTAATATTTCCTTTTTAAATTTTGCATTCAACCATTTTGAAACTTTTGATAAATACTATATTTTGTTGTAAATAGCCTTTTAATCTGGCTGGCTCTTTCTCAGATTTTTGTAATCTTTCTTTGTAGAAAGAGAATTTTGCAATTAGAATTTTACAAATTATGTTTGTTTTCGTTATTTCGATAAACAGTGTTACCGAAAATTGAATCGTTATTATACATTTTTCAATTATGTTTGTTTTCGTTATTTCGATAAACATTGTTACCGAAAATTGAATCGTTATTACATTTTTTTCAATTTAAGGATATGTGTGCAGTTTTTTAAGATGCTGCAGGTGACGCATTTTTATGTTCACAATTTTCGTATTTTTATGTTCTAAATGACTTAAAATAGATTTCCAGTTTTCTAATTATTAGATTATGATTAAAGCGAAGCATTTATTGTACTTTTTTCCAGTGCAGCAAAATTATATGGTATATCTGCAATTCCAAACAAGCAGAAAGCACAAATCATTTTGTAAATGTTTTCTGTACTTGTACGTGAGTAAATAAATAGCATTTGGTGGAGAATTCTTGTAAAGAAAATAGAATAGGTTATTTCTGATATTTGCTTCTGCTTAGCAACGATTTGTGTATTTGTAAACAGCGAAGGAAATTTTATTCGATATTTCTCGAAATCGGTGTTACTGCTTATAAGATCAGTTTCATGAAGTTATATGTAATGTTTTAAACAATGTAACGCACATTTTGTATTCTATAGATCGCTGTAGAATTCAAGTAAGCAGATTCCAACATGTGAACAAATTTCATAGAAAGAATTTTTTAAAATATAATTAGTCTCTTAATTAATGTGTATTTATAAAACCAATCTTATCGTTTGTAGGTTCTTTTATAATATATGCAATCTGCACGAAAATGAGGAGAACTTCTGTATCTCGTTTCTTGGTCAGCTGATCGAGAAAATTTAAATTGCATTTTATTGTCAGAGATTGTTAAAGGATCTTTTTATTAAACTAGAATTTGGAAGTATGCTTCTCTTCTTTCGGTTTTCTGGAACTGCATGCAGTAAGTTTTGAAATTTATACCTTATATATTATCTAGCGAGTGAAAAATGTTAACTTTTAGTGCTTTTTACGTTACTTTTAGAGCGATTTTTGGGAAACAAATAAAGAAATCGAAAACATTTGAAGAAGATCATCTTCTGTAACTTTTTAACTTCGTGTAGTATAATTAAATACCTTGTCGCTTGAAAATGGCTTAGTTGAATATTGTTTACTTTAAAAACGGGGCCGCCAGCGGCCTAGCGGTAAAGTCCATAACATGCTTCAAATATTTCTCTGTTGAGAAGTATATGCGCCAAATTTGTCCCCCGTTAAATGAAATATGTTGTTTCTTTTTTTTTCTTTGTTTTTTTTATAAAAATATTCTTGTTTTCAGAATCTGAATTATCAATAAAATATTTTTAATAATAAGCGATTCTATTTAATGAAAAATTTATTCAAGCGACTAATTTCTTACGTTTAGAAAAATTTTCCTTTGTCGAAACGAGTTGCTGTCAAAAGCACATCTTCTCATTGCTGCATATATTTATTTAAGGAAAACTGCTTGGCGCATGTGCTTTTATAATTGAAAAGATCCAAAGAATTTTCAACAGGGGAATAAAGTTATTAATTTTATTGAGGTTTGTGGATTCTTTGTGTTTTGAGGTAAAAGTCAAATCATCAGATATGTGATGAATATAAAATAAGGGTATATATAATCAGAATTTTGCGGCTAGACATTCAAGCGAAATATGTTAAAAAAATGTTATCTGCACAAAATTGATGTATATTCCGTTTAGTATTTGAATTTATCAGTGTTGTAACATATCAGTTTGTCAATGTACTTATGAGTTGGATCGAGATTTAATTGTTTTCGATATAAGAATTTCATTTTTTATTTTAAAAATTTGATTCGTGTATTAACATTATGTTAAACCCTAACAGATGCATATAACAAAATAAAATTGAGTAAATGCATATAACAAAACTGAAATAAATATATATATAAAGAAAAAAAAAAAAAAGGTATGAAAAGATTTTTAATTACTTTTTAATACAGTAGTTTCTAAATTGCGTTATTTTCAAATTTTATTTCATTTTTGTGCATGTACACTTTATATGTGCGAGCGTGTGTTTGTTCAGCATATCCATATATATTAATTAAATAAATCTGATTTGAAAATGCATGCACTATCGCGTTATTCTCCTAACTTGAAAACTTTACGTAAAACGTAAAGTATTTATTGGCTGATAAAAATATTTATAAAGAAAAGTAAATTTCATCTCCTTACTCGGTGCTGCGTAAAGCAATTTAAATAAGTTTATTATTAATTTTTTTCTTCTATATTAAAAACAACTTGTAACCAAAATTACCATAAACAAAAGACTCACTTGGCCTTTTCAAATAGTTTTAATTAACAAAACACAATTAAGATAAAGCATAACAATTAAGGGCGTTATAATTACACATTTAAGTTAAAGTAAATCTCGAAAAACAACATCTTGGGGAAACAGCATGCTTAGTTCATGACTCCCGTACGCGTAATGGCAAACCGCACATTGAGTTGAACAGTGTTAAACGAATGTCGCATACTGCGCATGCCCAGAAACAAATTTGGCGTAATTATTATGTTGGCGCGATTTGAAAAGAGGATAAATACGGTATGTGGTAGATGTACCGCCATCTGATTGTAAACAAATCCGGCGTTTAAGTCTTCGTAGAGTATATGTGCAATGTAAAGTAATTACTGTGTAAAATTAGATTTTTTTCCTGTACTGCTCCAACAACTGGAAAGTTGAACGATACGATCAAGTTTAAATTCGATTGAAGAGTGCACAAAATGGGTAAAGGAAGTAGCGTAAATGCAGATGCTCCAGTGGATAGCGCGAGCTTCAAACCAAATGCTATTGCGAGATTGCTTTCAGATTGCTTTCAGGTATGTATATTTTCCCATTTCAGTAAATTTGATATGTTATATGTGCAATATGTGATATATTGTATTTTAACACATATACAGTTCATTAACATTTTTTAACATTTCCTAAATTTCTATATAATGTAGCATTAAGAAAGATGTTTTAAGAAAATTTGTTTCCTTAGTGTTTTTAATTTTTTCGAAAAGAAACATCATTTTTTTCGAGAAACTTCAAGAAGAAAGTTATTAGCGTAATTTTATTACAGCTAAAACTGATGCAAGGTACTTGAGTCTTTATCTCAAAATGTGCTGAAATGTTTTGGTTGAAGTTAATATAAAATAATGTAATGAATTGTGGTATAACTGTAAAGAATTGGTAAAAATAAAATATAATTAGCTCAAATTTACTTAACTCCTTATATTATCAAATATCTATTGAATAGAAAAACCTGTTGAAATATTAAATGTAACAAGTTCTATTTTTAAAATGCAGATGATTGTACAGCATGTAGGAATTGATGATGATTTTTAATAATCCTAAAGTAATAGTAAAGTCAACAATAAAGTATATTTTGATGTATGTAATTTTCATCAATGATTACATAAAATTGCACTTTAACATAAAGTATGCTTGGATTGTTTTCATGTATGCTATATATTATTGCAAATTAGTTCTTCATAAAATTGTATATTTCTGCTGTGAAAAAGTATATATGCAATCATGCAAGTTGTAGGAAAACATGTACGTGTACTGCACATGTACCAGGAAGACAAGATAACAATTATGACTGTCAATCATCATTTGCTGACTGTATCTGTCAAGCTGACAACACAGACTATAGTAGCCAAAGATAAGTTGTAGAAAGTGTGTTTCAGAGTTGAATATATGAAGTTAAAGTTAGTAGGATAATTATTCTTAACTAAATAATAAAATTTAAATAAAATAAAACCCCTTATTTCATTTTTTATAAATTCTCTTATTATTATGATGTGATTTCACAACCATTGACCCTCTCCTATTGTTAAATAATTCATTCAGCACTGAACAACATATTATTTTATTGGTATAAAAAATAATATATTTTGTGTGTATGACCAGGTTATGATCTAAGATTTTTCAATACTTGAATCATCCTTTTAAAGATTTTTATAAAATGATTTTTTTAATTTCAGGCATTGGCACAGTGAATGGCAGCTAAAAACTTTTGACCCTTGTTTCTGGAAGTGAAATGTTAGATGTAAGTAATGATGTCTGAGACCCTTATCACACAGCATTTGTTTCACATGAACAACTTGTTTCGGACAATTTTTCTGCCTGGTTTACTATTGAAAGAAAGACATGCAACGTTTTCCTTCCTTTCTAAAAAAATTGCAAATTGTTCGTTTTCAATCAATCAACTATCAGCTTGTTTGTAATGGGGAACCAGTTTCCCATGTTAACCCCAAAGTGATCTATGATAATTGGCTGTTGTGACAAAGCAGAAAAATTGTGCCAACAGTTATTCTTCCGAAACAAACTGACGTGTGATAGCATCCTTACTGTTAATAATACTGTGAAGCACTTAATTGTATGCTTTGCTAATGAATATGTACTTGTTTGTGGTACTATTATGTGTTTGTGGTACTATTTGTGGTATTATGTACTAAGCAATTGTGGTTATTATGAAAGAGGTGAAATTTCAAATACAATTGTTTCAGTTACAATTATTACAGATATTATTTAATTTTGTAATAATGCTAATTAAAAATATGAATTAAAAAATGCAAAAATTAGTGTATGAGCATACTAAATAGTTCAGAGTAAGACTTGTACTTAATTTATAGTACGCACTCATTCACACATATGATGACTCGTACACTGATATAAATTTGATATGCTTTTATACTGTTTACATGTCTTCTATATTCAGATTTGAATCATCATCTGCCAACAAATTCAGTTAATCAGGCATTGTTGACCTTATTAGTTTCTTGCAGATGTGTGAACTTTGGAAACATTTTTAGATTTAGTGTAGTTTTTGTTTGCTTTTCAGGTTTTCACATAATATCAACTAGAAACATTACCTCTTTATTTTAAAGGTCAAAGAGATAAAATAAAAAAAAAAAAACAATTAATTAGTTAATATCAAACCTAAAATGTTCTTTTATTACACAACTATTATTTAAGCCATCCAAATGGGCGCAATATTTTTATAATACTTTTATTTAATTTTCCAGTATATGTTATTGAAGCCATTCAAATCCCACTTGGGCATTTTCAAGCATATTAGTTGTTGAATATTATGTCTGACTGTAAACACACAGGCAAAGTATGTATAATTATTATGTAATTTAACCTATCTTTCCTTCAAATATTTCTTTAAAATTACACGAGACAGGCATACATTTGAGCTTTGATTAACAGACTTAGTGTAGTCGCCATGACGGATAAGAAAACAGATGAATAATAGACCACCCATAATCACCAACATATAATGCAAGGATTTGAGAATAAAGATTGCTTATTAGCATAATAGTGCACTGAATATTAGATATAAAAATTATAGAACTGAAAGATTTGTCACGTATCATCTTTGCTTATTATTATATATATTGAAAATAAACAGTTTGCTTCTGCAACAGAATAAATATCGAGTGTCTTGAAATGTTTTGTATACCTGGAGCTTTACAGTTCAGTACATTATACAAAGAGCAGTATATATAATGATTATCAGGTCTGCACAGAAATTTTTAATGGAAAATTCTTGTATATAGATTTAGTTGATATTTCTTATCTTGTGTACAGATTTAGTTGATATTTCTTATCTTGTGTACAGATTTAGTTGATATTTTGCAAGACATGGCAACATTTCAGACTTTTATTGTAATTACTGTGACAAAACAATCATTAGAAAATTATACACGTATGAAAATTATTAATATTACATTATGTAGCTTATATTAATAATTTTCATATGTGTATATGTAATATTTTGGCAGGCACAGGAATGACCAAAGCTTGACAATATAACTACATCATAGGCCAGGCATTGTTATGGCTGGATAGAAGGTTGCAAAATGACGACAAAGAAGGATTTAGCTTTTTAGATCCCACATCTTTATTCAATTC